ACGCACATTAAATACGTTCCAAAATTTTTTTTTTTAATTTTTAAATTTACAACATAATTTTTTCTAATTTCGGAAAATCATATACAATCATATCGGTTACTTGGATTTTTTTATTTTATATCTTTTTGTAAAGAAAAAACTAATTTATTTTTCTTAATAGTCTTATGAACGTGGACTTGGCGCGATTTTTTTACAGTGAAACTGTTTTTGTTCGGATGATATAAAGTGAAAATAATATTTATCCTAACTAAGAATCGAACGCGAGCCGCGCACTCGCCAGACCGATACCTAACGCCCTACGCCGTACGACCGATAGGTGATTCAACATCTTATTATTCTTATAAGCTAATCCTATGTGGTGATTGAGCTTTACGGCTCATTACTTATTATTTAAATTATTTGTGTTATTTGATGCTGTTTATTGATGGAAACTAACTAACTTTTACATTATTTATAATTCATTGAATATTATAAAAATTAAAGTCTAACATATACTCATTCAAATATATTGATTTGGAAATGATCGTTTGAGCGTAATATTAAAATTTATAAAAGATTAATGATGCCTCGAATTTATTATTACAAATAAACAACCATAGACTAGAAATTAGTAAAAATAAATATGAAGGACATTGTTGTTTTTTAATACATCAGTCTCATTTTTGTAAAAGTGAAAAGTATTGTTTTTAAAATTGGAAAACAGTGAAGTAGAATTACAATTCGTGTAATATAATTAAAATTGTCTGGTAACATCACATTGCACTGGGTAATTTTACAATGAAAATTGTAAAGATAAAAAAAAGCTTTTTAAATTTTTTATGAAATTATTGTAATATAAATTATAATATTTTTTTTGTGATTTTACATACAATTATGCTGAATCAGATCACAAATAATGTTTGCAAAATTAAAAAGCTTTTTCTTAAAAATTGACCAACGGTTCTGTAATATTACAATGCGTGTTAGGTTTATAGATGAAGTTTGTAAAATTACAATACATCTCAGTAGATTTCCTGACCGGTGTTGGAAAATTACATGAATTGTATTTTATTTCGCATTGCTATACACTGATTTGTAATTTTACTTATAATTTGTTTTCTAATATGATTGTAATTTTACAAAAATTTTAACAGTGTATAATTTTCAGTTTTCGTTCCTTTTTTTTCAAAATGCAAGTGCATTAAAATATTACTGTTTATACTTTTTTTTTTTTATATGTAATATAATTTGTAAAAGGACGTTAAATTTATTCCCCAGTGACCCTGTTATTGGTTATTGCTGTTGGGTCTTTGTATAAAGAAATAAATAAGATTTAATTTAAAATTTTTTTTTTTATAAATATCAACATAAATTTCGATAAATTTTTTTTACTGTTTTTAGTATCACTATTTTTTTTTTCAATAATTTTCATAAATAAATAAAATAATTTACTTTAAATTAAACAACGTTAAAAATCTAAAATTTATATTAATTAATTTCTACATTAAATATAAATAATTTTGTCAATATCACTACAAAGAATTATTATTAATTTTTAAATTTCAGAGAACTAATAGAAAAATACAAAATCCTGAAAGAAAACCTTCACAGAGCAAAAGAATGCACAAAAGAAAAAGAAAAACTCCTTGAAAGCGAACGAAGTGCAAATAAAGCGTTCCGCCTAAAGATGAACTCAGAAAAGCAGGCAATAAATACAGTAACAAAAGAAAAATCTCAGTTGATAAAACAAATCGAGGAATTAGACACGAAGCTGCAGGCCCAGACGAAGTATAACGAGCAGCTGAGTTCAAAAATCGAGGAGCTGGAGAATGAGAACAAAGAAAAATTAATGGACAAAGACCTGAAACTGTCCGGACTAAGAATAGACAACCAAGAGTTGAAGAAAAAGCTTCAGGCGTACCAGAAAAAAGACCCGAAGTTAGCGAAGAAAATGGAGCAATTAGAGAAGCAGAAGAAGCTAAAAAAGTCCCAGCCGTTCAACTCGACTCGGAACACGGGCTTGGTTGACCTGTCTGCCCTGGATAACGTCTCCGAGGAACCTGGAAGCTCCCCGGAACACGAGGTCGACATTCCCCTGGAGCAAGAGTTCGACATTCCCCTGGAAGACATTTCAACAAGAGACCAAGGAACCGACACCTGCGACCTCTCCTTTGAGCTAGTTCCTACCCCCAGAAAACGCGGTTCCAAGAAGATCATGCGGAACATGGAGTGCCAGGTTGGTCCCAAGCTCCAGGATCGATCTACCATGACCAAGAGCTTGAGTCGTAGTCAGGAATTGTATCCTCTGTACTGCAAAGAGTGCCACAAATCCCTCGGCCCGAAGCCGATTGACGAAATCTTGAACACTATGACCTCCCTTTCGCCTAAACTTGATGCTATAGGGCCTCCAGAAGCCCCCAGGAAGTCCCTACCGGCGATTTTACCCTCCACGAGCACCTACAATGACGATGCAACCCAAAACGCGGTCGAAATAGCGCGATTTGCTTCTCGACAAGATGGCGGACAGGTGTCACAAAATGGCGGAGAAAAAATTGAAAAGAGACTGGGAAAGATTGAAAAACAGCTCAAAGGGTTACAGAAGGGACAGGCTCCGTGTTGTGGACACAACACTGGTGGAGGGGACTTGCAGGTTAATTTGCTGACGACGCTCCTGGAGAAAGTTTTGAGGAAGAGTCCGGTTAAGAGGAAACGGAAGGAACTGAAGGGAAGAGTTGCTAAGAAAAAAGTCAAGAAGAACTCTCGAGGACAAGTTCATGAGAAGAGTTCTAGGTCTAGGAAGAAAAAACGATCGAGAACGTCTAGGAGTTCGTCTAGAAGTTCGTCTGATAGTTTAAGTTCTGAGAACTCGAGTTCTTCTGAAAGTTCTAGAATTTCGAGTTCCTCGAGAAGTTCTTCAATGTCCAGGAGTTTGTCTAGAAGCTCTAGAAGGTCATGTTCCAGGGACCGTAAGCGTTCCGAGGGTTCCAGTTCTAGGAACCTGTCTCGTGTTGGTTCCAGGAACCGTAATAGTCTTAGTCCAAGTCCCAAAAACAACAGACGTTCTTTAGATTCTAGATTTAGGAACCGTGAGCGTTCCGTAAGTTCCAATTTCAAGAATCCTCGTTCAAGTTCCAGGAACTGTAATGGTCCTAGTCCAAGTTCCAAGAACAACAAACGTTCCAGATCTAGGAACCGTGAACCTTCCATAGGTTCCAATTCCAGGAATCCATCTCGTTCAAGTTCCAGAAACCGTATTAGTCTTAGTTCTAAGAACAACAAGCGTTCTGACAGTTCCAGTTCCCAGAATCGCAATCGTTCCAGGAACCGTGAGCGTTCCAAGAGTCTTAGTAAGGAACCAACTCCCAGAAGTTCTTCAAAGCATTCTATTCAAAGCCGTGTTCGTAAACCTCGAAGAAGATTAATATCAGACGACGAACTGGAACCGTTTCAGGAACCTACGAACAGCGAAAGTGACATAAGCGCTCCAAAGTTTAAGAATCCTGTGTCTGCAGTTAAGAACCGACCCGATCCTGGAATGTTCAGTCCAGACTTGATCTCGAAAACTTTAACTAATACTCTGGAACCTAAAGAAGTTCCGGAACCTAAACGCAAGGGAACCAAGGGTCCGAAGACTACTGCGCAGGTGCAGACGCAGTTACTCAAGAAGTTAAGGAAATTGAAGACCAATAAACCGGCGACGACTCCCTGTTCCAGTTCCTTGACGCCCACGGAAGTTTGCGAAGTTACGAAGCGCAAAAGAATTGCGCATGTTCCAAAGGAACCGGGAGAGGTTACGCTGCCGGTTAAAAAGAGAAAGACTAGATCTATGGCTGCTAAGAAAAGTGATTGTTCCGGTGAAACACCTAAGGATGTTATGGAACCTGAGAACGGAACCGAGAACGAAGAAAGTAAGGTTCCAGAAAGTTCTCCGGCGAAGGCTGTTTTGATGGAAGAAGTTCCGGCTGTTAAGAAGCGCGGTAGACCGCCGAAAAATAAAGAGGATGGGGTGGTCAAGAAAAAGTATACTAGAAAGACAGTTCCGGGAACAAAAGCGGTTCTAGAAAGTTCTGAGGCTTCAGATAATGTTCCAGAAAGTTTGAAAGAAGTTCCGAGTGAAACTGCAAGTCATTTAGAAGCTGAGAACAGTAGAAAGGAAGTTCTGGAGGGTTTGGAACCTAAAGCAGCCGAGGGTTCGGAAGTTCTGGATAGTTCTGGAACAGGTTTAGAAAATTCTGATGTTAGTACAGTTCTGGAAAAATCGGAGGTTCTAGACAAGACACAAGCTATAGAAACTTCTGATACTCCAGTTGTGGAAAGTTCTAAAGTTCTAGAAAGTTTGAATAATCAAACTTCAAAAGTTTTGGAAATTTTGAAATCTGAGACTCCGGAACGTCTAGAAAAATCAATTCCAGAACGTTCAAGTGCCCTGTCTTTGAAAGCTCTAGAAAGTTCTGATGAAGAAACTCCAGTTATAGAACGTTCAAGTGTTAAGACTCCAAACGTCAAAGAGACTCCAGAACTTCTAGAAAGTTCAACTGTTAAATCGTCCGAAGGGACCGAACTCACTGACGTAGGACTTCCACTTTTAGAAAATTTAATCGACGAGACTCCAGACCATGAACAATCCGTCAACAGTCCAGAAGTTATGGATAGTTTGAACACCGAGTCTCCAGCAAGTCCAGATCCAGAGGGTTCTATTGACGCAAATCTAGCAAATATATTGTCCGAAACTTCAGCAGATCCTAAGAACCTAGAACTGGAACCAAAAGAATCAAATGTAGAGAACATTCTAGAATCCCCTGAATCTCCAGATCCTACATCTGACGAGCTAATTCTAGATACCGCCACAAGTTCTGAATCTCCTGAAATTTCTCTCGGCATCGACATCGCAATGAACACAGAAACTTCCGAAGAAGACACCGCAATAAGGTCGGAGTCGAAGGATATGGTTGTGGAAAGTTCCTCGGAAGCTTCCGATATCGAGATGGACGTTGAGACGACTCTAGAACCTGCAACTCCAGAACCTGAGCCTGAAGTTCCGGAAAAAATTTCAGATACTTCCGAGAATGCTACAATTCCAGTTCCAAAGTTTCTAGAACGAGGAAAACTAGTCACAGCACCTAGAATGCTTCCAAAAACTATCGAGAAACCTTGCAAGTCCAACAAACCCATCGCTCTAGGACGCAAAAGTTCCAACGCCAAGATGCCAGAAGTCATCGTCACGAAACCCGATTCTGAAGTTCTAGAAAGCCAGAACAATTCCATGAATACTAGAACTTTGAGAAGTCGCACTGTTTCTATTAGTCCCTCACGAGTTCTGCCTAAAATTCGTAGAATTTCACCCACAAAAAATCTTCCAGAAGTACCACTGATATCTCCTGGAACTCTAGAAAATGACTCAAAGCCTTTGGAATCTAGAATCTTCGTTCCTGGAACTAATGTTCCAGGAACAACCACCCCTGTCACTAATGTTCCTGGAACATTGGATCCTGATTGCTCAGTTCCTGGAACAGCAACTCTTAAAAACTCAGTTCCTGAAACACCAGTTCCCAGAACATTCGTTCCTGGAACATCAACCCTTGAAAAGTCAGTTCCTGGAATACCAGTTCCTGGAACACCAGTTCCCGGAACATTAGTTCCTGGAACAGTGACGCTCGAAAACTCAGTTCCTGGAACATCCGTTCCTAGAACCATGGAACCACCATTAACAACTGAAATCTTTCTAAAAAACTCCAATACTCATCCAGAAAATTCAAATATTCCAAATGAACCTCAACGCCAACGAAGCATCCAGAACCTTCTAGATTTCTACCTCTTAACAAGAACCACGCCAGTGATCATCCAGAACTCTGTCTTGCACAGAAATGTTGCCATAATGATGTCAGACTCCGCGACGAAGTCAATCAAAACAGAGTTCCAGCGGTTCCTAGACTCCGAATGGACTTGCGAACTCACTAACAGTCTGATCGCGAACTTGAGGAACCTGGAACCCGTCAGCATCGCTAGTGCTCTTGTAGAAGTTCTGAAAGAACGCTCAGAACCTTTAAGTTACGAACACACGCCACCAGCGCCTCCTATGACTGTTTCTCAGCAAAAGCTCATCGGGTTCCTAGCCAAATTCGAAATGGAACGACCTGGAACCACGGAACACGTCATGGTTATCATTGCTCAATTATTGTTCAAGGTAAAAGCAAGCAAAGATGACGATGAAATCGATGTCGAAACTCTGCAGGCACTGTCTAGGTTCTTTATTTTGGTAACCAAGATCAAGAAAGATCGGGAACGCGCCAGGATTTTCTTATGCGACGCCCTCTATGCTCTTCAGAAAAAAGCTTTTTATGTCTTACATATTTTTATGACTTGCTGGGCTGAAGTTATTCCACGTTATGACGAAAGTACCATGAGTTTCTTACCAACAGGAGGAAATTTGACACAAAATGGCGGCCAGGGAACACAAAATGGCGGCTCTGAACAAGATGGCGGCCAAGAAAGCCAAACTCCAAGTTTTTATAGTGAAATAAGTGAAACTTTATCTTTAAAGACTTTTGGAAGTCAAAATGGAGGACAAGGATCACAAAATGGCGGACGTAGACAAGATGGCGGACCAGGAACACAAAATGGAGGTCAGTTGAGTAAATTTTGTTGATTTTATTGTAAAGGAAGTTTAAATTAGAGTAAAAGTAATATAAATTTCAATTTAGATTTTACCTGTTGTCAAAATGGCGGACAAGTAACACAAAATGGCGGCGTTAGTCAAAATGATGTTATAGAAACCCGGAAAAAATATTTAGTAATAAGTATCACGACTGCTATTAAGAATCACCGAGATAATTCGAAAAATGATAACATAAGTCAAAAAATTATTAATGTAAAAAGATTACTCAAAACTTTGTACAATTATCCCGATGAATTTATAAGTATAAAGGTAGTCGAGAACTTGTTGGAAGCGATGAAGGTTAAGAGAGACAACAGCTGTTTAATAGCCGCCATTGTTCTGCTCGCCAAGAGAGAGGGCTCGAATTGGACTTCTCAACATGTCGTGCCGAAGTTGGTCAAGATGGTCACCACAGGTGGCGCCAGTAATAATGCCTATGATATTTTAACGTTACTCGGTAAGTTAGTATTTTTATATCTTCAATTTTTCAGAATCTACGAATCTGATTTTTATGACATTTTGATATATTTTAAAATTGAAAATTATTACAACAATAATCATAATAATTCTCACTTTTTTTTAATTTTCAGGATACATTTTGCGGCCATTCCCACTAAACGATGAAACCAAACAAGTAGAGAATGTTATTAACCTATTATGCCAAATTTTGGATGCCAAAACTGGTAAATTTTAATTTCAAAAATTTTTTATTTTTAAATTAAAAGTTAAAAATTTTATATTTTATTTTTTTTTTTTTTTTTCTTTAGAACCAGTTGAATTTCAAGAAGGAGCCGCAATGGCGCTAATGTCGCTCGCGAGGACCAATTTTGTCAAAACTGCGCCGACGCTCCTCAGGTGGCGCCCCAGTCGACCAATCACAGGCGAGCTTAAAACCAGGCTCCAGCACTGGTTCGAGTCTAGGACACCGCAATATTGGAACCAGTTCCTAAAAAATAATGACCTTAAAGTTGGAAAAGGGTCCAAGTTGAAATAAATTTGTCTATTTAATTATTTAATTTTATTTTCTAGAAAAAAAAATAATTCGAGGCTCAATTATAAAAAAAAAAAAATTTTTTTTTAATAGTTGAATTTTTTTTAAGTGATATTATTAGTTGAACAATTTTTATTCATAATTGTTCATCTTAATGTTAAATAATTATTAATGTTAAATTAAAAGTTTGTTATTATAATGAACTTTGTACGAACAATTGTTTCTAATAAAAGATGAATTTTCATAAAAAATAATTTTTTGGGACAATTAATAATTGAATTTTTGAACAAAAATTTTGAAATCTATATTATTAAGAGAATAAGTAAATTAAGTGTCATTGCAAAGGTCTTGATTTTAAATTATAGATTTTTAAAGGTTACATACCATTTTCACCGATAGTCAATTTATTATAAAAATTATTTAGGCTACATTCAAAAATTCTCTCTCTCTAGATACATAATTAAAAAATGACCTTGTATCTTGTAAACTATTGACATTTTAAAAGATATAAGCTCATCCTGACATTACACTCGTCGAGACCTTTCATTTGAGTACCCACATCAATTTTTCATAAATTTATATATATTATATATATGTATATATGAAAAATATATCAAAAATGCATGTGGGTACTCAAATGAAAGCTCTTGCTGAGTGTAACATCGGAATGAGCTTATATCTTTAAAAACGTCAATATTTAAGGAAGTACAGGGCATTTTTACAAATATCTTGTAAAATATTTACATTTTTAAAGATATAAGCTCATCCCATTGTTATACTCATCAAGAGCTTTCATTTGAGTACCCACAAGCATTTTTGATATATTTTTCATATATACATATATATAAATATATAAAATATATGAAAAATCAATGTGGGTACTCAGATGAAAGGTCTTGATGAGTGTAACATCAAGATGAGCTTATATCTTAAAAAATGTCAATATTTAACAAAGGACAGTGCAATTTAACAAAAGTCATTATCTAATAAAGCAAAATTTTATT